CTCTAACATGTATAAATGGGGTGCTGCTGGGGGGCCAATTTATACTATACACAAGATCCAGTGCACTCACCTATCCACTAAACAGCAACTAATTTTGACAGATTTAAAAAAAAGATTTTTTAAACACCTGATCTAGGCAAAAATAATGGGGCTTTAGTTACATTATATGATCATACATTGTATAATGTACCTCAACATTAGAGACGATATTCAGCATTTTACGGATTATCAGTATTGCCTTGTAATTTACCAAAATTACCGATAACTTACTCACCTCACACTGTCTTCTGGACCCAGAAACTCTAGCCAACCGCCAATGAAGAGCAATTTTGTGACCTCACTTCACCCCTTTCTGTGATTTTCTGCTTGAGGAGTTCAGCTGAAGGTTGGGAGATGAGACAGTGAATAATCTACTGTAATGTACTCGGCAGGCTCACAGAGTGATAGGAGTTTGATTGCTGTCACTAAATAATTAAACCCCTATCAGATCCCAGCATGTGCTGACTACCTGAGAGTAATAGGACTGTGATTGCTGTCAGCATGTTCAGTTAATGGCCAGAAAAAGAAACATTTTTCCTTTAAAACCCCACCCTATTTCCTTCTCAGGCTATCTTCTCTCCACAGCCTCTGCCCTCTCCTCAAATGATGTGCTAGCTTCAACTCCTTCTCATTTCTTCCACTTCATCTGTTCATGATCCCATAACTATTCTGTATCTCTCGTGCCCCCTAATAATGTCTCCACTATATGTTTAACCTGTGGCCTTGCCTTGATCTGTGGTTCTGTGTGAAGCAAGGATAAATGGGGAGAAGCTAAAGTCTTGCGGGTATGTTTTGTCTCTCCAGATGGGAAGATGCTGATGTCCCTATAGTAAGAACAGTCTTTGTGTACTTGTACCATAAAGAAACAAAAATATATATTAAGGACAGATATTTTTTTCCGATTGATATCTTTAAAGGCATTTTGTTTAAATAAAAACTTGGGCACTAGTGTATTCCTCAAGTATGTAAAAGTTCCTTTGCAGTCTTTTACTTTCTGCATTTCATTGACCAATATTAACAATTTAAATCTTCAGTGTGACTTTATAAATGTTGCATATACATATAAATGGTATGTGTTCTTCTCAGCTGCCGGAGCCCTTGATGCCATTCCGTATGTATAACGGTCTAATGGGACTGGCAAAGGAGAGTTTGCGTGGAAATGATGGTGGAAAAGGGCCAAAACTGGAGGACAAAGGACCAGACACTGAGCCAGAGGTTTTGGCCTTAGTGATGCGACTTAAAGAGTTGCTGCAGGACCTGCCCACAGAGAACAGGACCACTCTACAGTACTTAATGCAGCATTTGTGCAGGTGAATATGAGGGCAAGTGGGAATAGTGACCAACAATAAAGAGTAGGAAGAATTACTAAAAAGAGACTAATGGCAACGGACTGTTTGGAAAACAAGAATATGGGCCAGGACAAATGTGCCTTAAAAATATATAGAAACCTCTTGGGATATCTTGACTTTGTTATTTGGTACCAATGTGCCTTATATTTTATTACACTTTTCACAGTGAGGAGGAATATGCTGCAAGGTAGTAAATAAAATGAAGGAATTCATAGAAATATGATCGTGAAATTAGTGGAGAGTAGTTCAAGAAAAATTGAGATGAGCTGCTGATGATACAGAGTTTATTAATTTGACATTTTAAGTGGCAAATATGAACAGTAACCTATAGAATACCTCCTTACATGTTTTTAATCCATTGTTTTATATGCTTCTCTGTGTTATTGCTAATTGTCCTGATATCTGTGTCCTAACATTTAAATATCCTGAGTTGTGGTGCCACCATATTTAAATGAACTCTTTTTCCTCTGCAGAGTTTCTGAACAAGAGCATTTGAACAAGATGAGTCCCAGTAACCTAGGCATTGTTTTTGGTCCTGCACTGATGAGGCCACGGCCGACAGATGCCACTGTATCTCTGTCCTCTCTCGTGGATTATCCTCACCAAGCTCGCATTGTGGAGGCCCTTATAATTTTCTATGATACCATTTTCCAGAATCCCACCACAGGATTGGAGAAGTCACAAACAGTCAGTGATGTAAGGATGAGAGTTTGCAATACAAATTTGTTCTTGTCTTTATGGGAATGTCCTGAGCATTACCTTAGTTTGTTCACTAATTGTTTTCTGCAGGAAAACATCAGCGTTCCTGGACTTCAGGTTACAGCTGAAGAAGAGTCATCGGAGCTGGCGGCGGATTACCAGATAACGGCATTCAGAGGTAAACAGAAAAACCCTAAGTGTCATGTGGGTTGCATAGGAAAATAACTTAAGAAAAAGCTATAAATAAGTTAAAGGCTGGGGATTTATTTGGTGGTTATATTGCAGATTGGGGCTCTGTCCACTCACACTTAGCCCAAAAGGGTTTGGGGCAGGCTTCCAAAGATAGCACCCATCAGAGACACATTAAGTCCCATCACCCACAGAGTTGTCAAAAATAAGTAACATATCTGTATACATAGTAGGAAATGTACATTTTAATTTTGATAGAAATATGAAAGAAAAAAATCTTAAAGCAAACTTTTCAAAGAAATTCCCATGTAAAATATAAGTAATTGCTGTGATACTGGTGAAATAGGAGTTGACTGTTAAGGGACACATGGATGAAAGAACTTTATATCAATGCAGTCAGCATGTATACAGTTGTATATCCCTGCTTTACAACAAAGTATCACTGAACCGTACATTTTATGTTCTCTTAAAATGGCACTGTCATGCCGAACTTGCCTTTCTCCAATCACTTCCTCTTCTCTCCCTCTCTCATGATCTATTCTTCATTTCTTTCTATCTGATCTAGTTTTCTTTAAAACATAAGACAAACTAGGGACTATTTTGTCTTATGTATTTTTCCTGTGCTTCTTCAGCTTTGACCCAGGGGAGGAGCTAAGTCCGTTCCATTTCCTGTTGTCAAAGCAATTTCCCACAATTCTCACCTCTCCTCCAGCTGCTTCATTGGGCATTCGAACGCCGACAAAACTATAGAATTTCGTCCTAACAGAATGAGAACAGCTTGTCCATTCGTGTTAGGATGCAATTCAGGACTTTTTGTCGGGATCGCAATTTCATATGAATGAAATACTGATCCTATTCGTGCCACGAGTAGATAGCTCCCTAATTCCCACGGTATTAGGGAGCTATTTACGATTGGGCTAAATAAACCAAAATTGGTCTTCCAGCCAAATGTACTAATACTATGTAAAGATTACTTAGTATTAGTAATTAATCTGACCCTACTTGCTATACCACTATGCCAATGGCTGCTCACTGTTAGGTAAATCTTGAGCCTTGCAAGTAATTAATCAGGCAAGGCTCAAGAATTACCTATCAGAGCACTCTTATTGGTTGGCTTAAACCAACCAATCAGAACTCTTGAGTCAAATTGCAGGGCGTGGTAAGGCTTTATAAGCCTTTCCCCACCCTGTGACGCTCAGTCTGCGCAGGGCCCTCGCTTGGTTAAGATGGATTCTTTTTTTAGTGGTGTGCTTTGGCGCTCAGGTTTTTATTTTATAAGTTTGACGGGAATTATGGATTTTTATTTGGCCTTTTCTGGGGCTGAAAAAAGGTTTTAGAAGAAAGAAGACTTCTAATGGTAAGTATAATTTTTATTTTTTACAGGTATTTAGGTTTATTGGTTGCCCCCAATTTTTAGGCTGAGGGGGTGACTAGGGGCTTGGGGACCTTTTTACCCCCCAACTGTCGCCCATGGGATGACTTGTCGCTAGGGCCCTCACCGCTGTCCAGGGATGGGAGACACAAATCTACTCGTAAACAGGGCTTTACATATGACACAAGGTCAGGCATTTAGGCTGGAAGAAAATAGATTTAATCTAAGGCAAAGAAAAGGGTTTTTTTTTTTTTAAGTAAGAACTATAAGGATATGAAATCCTCTGCCTGAAGAGTCCATACAAATGTTTAAACTGCAATTGGATAAATACTTGCAAAAACATAACATACAGGGATATAATTTCTAATTAGTGGGGTAATAGCTGCTTGATCCAAGGAGACATCTGACTGCTATTTTGGGGTCAAGAAGGAATGTTTCCTAGTTTGTTGCAAAATTGGAAGCGATTCAGACTGGGGTTTTTGCCTTCTTTTGGATCACCAGCAAAAACATATGTGAGGAAGGCTGAATTTGGACGCAAGTCTCTTTTTAGCTATGTCACTACCGTGTTTCCCCGATAATAAGATCGGGCCTCATATTAATTTCTCCCGCCCCTCCCAAAAAAAACACTAGGACTTATTTTCGGGGGATGTCTAATTTCTGGAAAACTGTTTCAAGCATGTGCTAGAAAGCAGGTCTTCGTTTAGGAGAATTCCCCCGATCATAGACCAGTTTAATAGTGCATGGAATCACGCCAAACTATGCCGGGTAAACTTCTCCAAACCTAGATTAGCTTACTCCCGAATGGAATTCCGCAAATCTACGTTTGGGGAGAATTCCCCGATTATAGATTAGTGAACTAGCGATTGGCGACTAAGGCTTATTTTCGGGGTTTGGCTTATATTACAAGCATCCCCCAAAAATAAGCTAGGGCTTATTTTCGGGGGATGTCTTATCAGGGAAACAGGGTATGTAACTAGCTGACAGAGGGGAGTCCCAAATATCAAATGATACTGGAGTTCCCCAGTAACCAGAAGGGAAACGTTTCCAGCTGGTAAAAAGCTGCATGACGGCATTATTCCATTTTGGGTCATTATAATTTTATTATACTAGAGATTGTTGTAAATTTGATTTAAGACAAGACCACAGTTTGCATTTGGTATTCAGGGGCACATTTTTTATAAAACCACACATCTCCTTTGGTTTAGCAAGGTTACAAACTATGCTTTTCAATTACAGATATTGCACAGTTGCATGCAATGACATGGGTTGCAGTTTGTTCTGACCATTGTTACTCCTTCCATGATAGAAACCAATGTCACTCACATTCAGTACAATTGGTCTTGTCAATAAGGGTTCTTTTGAAGTATCTGATAGTATAAGCTAACTGCATAGTTTGTTTTCAGTAACTATGATTCTGTTGCATTTGTAGATCAGACTGCATCTTCTCTGGACTCAGACTCTGAATCAGATGGTGGAGAGGATCTCACAGAGCCATGGGAACCAACACGCACCAGGGGACATCTCACAAAACAAGCAAGTGAAACAAGTGCGGATGACATTCCTTATATTGGGACAGACGGCCATTCAGAATCTGAAGAAGATGGTCAAAGCCGAGGAAGCCTCGCAGAGAATAACACCAACCAGTCCAACAATGTCCTCTTGACCAAACAATGCCAGATACCTCCAGTACGCTGCCACCGGCCTCTGCCCATCATCCGAATGCTGCAAACAAGAATTGCAATGAGCTCTTCTGATCGCTGTCCTCAGTTTGTTTAATGAACGTATATAAAACATGACCAATTCCTGCAGCTTCTGCGAACACCTTAAAGTGGCTCAGTCACTTTACTGATTTTCACTTAATGAATCTTTTCTCCTTTTGTTTGTAAATTCACCTTTTTTTCCCCAGTTGTACTGAAAATAAAGTAGGGATTACTCTTCCTTATGGGGAAAGTAATCTTTGTCAATGGGCAGAGCTTAAACAAAGATCAATTGCAGTTGCTAAACTAATTTAGCAACAATCCATCGGTCAAAAGAATCCCAAGGAAGAGCAAACTGCAGCGCTCATGGACAGAGGAGAACAAAATGGAGGCGCCCAGGTATTACGATAAGGCGCAAGGAAGAAAAGATAAAAAATAAATGCAAGTAGCAGAGAGGGGAGTATAATCATTAAGATACAAGGGGCATAAGGAAAGGAAAACTTCTTCATTTCCCCTATCCTCATTTGCAGGATTACTCCTGATGAATGAAAAACCAGCAGCACTTTGTTTTCAGTGTGGAGGAGTAGGAAAGCTGTTCTCACATCCCCCTTTCGTAAATGTGGCAGAATAGAATGTGAGATGAGATTGATTGGAATGTTCTAAAACATGAGCTTTTAAGTGTGATGTGTATCTGCTTTTTAAATAAACTTTTCTAAGAAAAAATGCATTGCCATTTTTAAACCAAGCGCATCTTTATTAATTAATTTAGAACAGGTCATCAAAATCACTTTATAAAAGCGAATACATACTGCTAGTTCTTGAAAGTAACCACATATTTAAGAGAAAACATGCACTTGCTTCAATGTAGAAAAGAGGGGGGAGGAGCCAGTAACTTAGAACATATAGCATTATGTTCCTTATCTTCTAAATTGTCCTTGTTGAAAATAGTGACAGTCACAAAATGTGCCATTTCACCATGAAAGTGAAAATAAAGAAAATTAAAAAACAAAAAAAACAAAAACAGCACATTACTTCCAGTCTCTAATCATGGGCTGGTTGTACTTCACTGTACCAAGCGATATGTGATATAACGGCCAGCAGTTTCACTAGGACGAATAATCTTTACCACCTGATAAAAACAGAAGAAAAGGAGATTCTATAAAACACACAGACAATAAAATATGATTAAAAGCCAGTATATCACACACAGTATATAGAAAAGAGGTAAAGTAACATGTACTCTGTTCAGTCCATCTCTGGATGGATTATATTTTAAACACCACAAAGAAATTCTTATTCTTTATTATTACCATGCTGTGTATAAAGAACTATAATTTCCCAAGAATTCTCTGTTTACTTATATAAATATATATCCGGTATATTACAAAAAGGGATTTAGAAAGTTTTTGATAGTATCCCTTTAAATAATTATGTACTTTAGCATGCAAAGGAAGTGTGTTGAGTAGAGATTCCTTTAAATGGAGACATGGACTGATTCACTAAGCAATGAAGTGTTTAAAGCACAAATCTAGCAACCATAAGTCCAATTCGTACTCCACAGCAATGCACTTTTTCAGCTGCACTAAGTACAAAACACACATCCTTCAATCTTACCAAAAGAATGATTACAAATAAACATGGAAAACAAACGAAAAAAAACAAACAAAAAACACACTTAATTTGTCAGTTACTACTTACTTGACCTCGCTTTAATCCAAAATATCTTGCTACTGGGTCTCCAGCCTGGATACGAGGAAGCTGGGACTCTCTCAGTTTACTAAGAAAATTGTTAAGGAATTTAATAAAGAAAAAAATATATATATGCAGTTCTATTTTAAAGGTCTAACTGGCTCTTTCAATGCCTTTAGGCAAACTTAATTGAAATTTGTCATACACTAGTATTTACCAATTCTTTACAACCTCTTTTTTTCTGTGGGCAAGTTGTGTGGCAGGAATAGATACAAGTGGACAGACCCAATTCATATTCTGTCTCTGTGACAAACTCCCATGTCCTTGTGAGTTTGCCACAAGCTCCTAGAGGAGCCTGCTTGCCAGCCTCCTGCCCACCGACTATGGGCCAGGTCAGCGACTGTAAAGACCCATCTTTTATTCCCCCTGGTTCGGAACTTTTCATTAGTGCACTTAGAACCGAACGCTAGCTCCCTGGTGGCAGTTTGCATGGACCAAAAGCGCGAATAGACTTCAGTGGGACTTAGCTGCGAAAGACCTGGAACTATTTTCGGCATGAAGACTTTGCGGTTCCCGGTCGGTCCCCAGTGACACTTGGCCGCGATTTTATGGAACTATTTTCAGCTAGGGGACCGTGCAGTCGGTCAAATTATGACTTCCAGGAAATTTCTGAACCCCTGAACCAATCTGGGTGATTTTTGCATATGTTGGTCACCCAGAACGGGTCGATCAGAGGATGTAACTTTTGTGAGGTTTTATGTATTTGTAAGGTACATTTGGGGTGTTTGGGAGAGAATGGAGTTTAATACAGTGCTTGACTCAATTATCTCCCATGTAAAGGGGAGGGATTCTCTTGTTTTGTATGGGAGTGTCCTGGACCTGAGAGCCAAATAAAGTTTGTAGGTTTTTAATGGAGTCTACTCTCAGGTCCAAGGGGGAGTGCCACTTGCATGGGGACCTGCATATAAGGCCAGTTGTGGCTAACATTAAACGCATTCCGGCTTGTACTCCCAGAACTGTATGTCGTCTGCTTATTGGGAGGGGAAAGGGCTATTCTTTAATCAATGTTCCAGTGTGGAGGATTCAACGGGAAAAAGTCCTTGTAAGGACTAGAGCTCCCAGGACTGAATGTCGTCCAGTGCCTGGGGGTTGCTAGAGCGAGTTCCCCATTCAGCTCCAGAAGAGAGCGGTTTCAGGGTCCCAGTCAAGCCACGGCGACTGTGGGCATAAGTGCTGCGGTTTATCCCGTTCCAGCTATGAAGCAGTCCTTGGCGGAGGTACCCAGCCAGCAGTACAGGGGGCTCCGTTATGTTGGTTGGCTTCCTAGCCTTGGGAAAACCAGCACTACTTCAGAGATGAGGTAAGTGGGACAGTATGCAGCATCGACACCCAGCTTCAGCAGCAGTTACAGGAAGTTTGGCGCAGTTTGGATTCCCTCTCTCAGCTGAGTTGGAATGGAGGGTGACGCTCCAAACTGAACTCTGGGTGGAGGCCCTAAGAGAAATGTTCCCAGATTCCAACCAACGCCTATAGGACCAATTCGACCTACGAATGCCGTTTCGGGGAGAACAGCCCCTAGAGGAGTGTGAGAGAGAACTGGAGCGGTTGGTTAAAATTGAGTTATGGTTGTATGAATGAATACGTTGGGCCGGGGCCGTTGTGGTAGGCTTCTGAGGATTCCCTGGGGTTTGAGAACCTGGACAGTACCCGCTACGGGTGTATACGTGACAAGCAGGACGTCAGCGTGGGGCTTACATTGGTGGCAGAATTAAGACAGGATTTGTCCTACCTGGTTAACCTGGAGCGCGAACTCGGTCAGGACTATGCTTGCGTGCTCCAAAGTGTAACATCACCTGTCTCTAACATGATGGGGCTTATGGACTGTATACCACCGGGAGCGTTGAGTTTCGTCCCTCCTCCCCAGCAACTAAGCCCGTTATCAGGAGACCCGGGTACTATACCATCTACGTCCCAACCTGCCTCAGAGATAAGAGGCCTTATCGACTAGTCCTGGGAAGACCCCCAGTTGGCATGTGGAGATGGGACTGAGGTATCTCCACCGGCCCTACTGGGATACTGGGCAGCCTGCCCAGATCTTCAACCCCAGATGGAGATGTTAGGTGGGTTATTGGGAGAAGAGACTGTCTCTCTCCCCAGCGGCAGACAGAGTTGCAGGGAAAGAATTGTGTCGTCCTTCCTCCCCCGCGGCAGAGTATGTTACAGGGAGTGGAGACTGTCGGACTCACTACCCAGCGGCAGTATGCATTGCAGGGAGAGAGTGCCGTCCTTCCTCCCCAGCGAGAGAGTGTGTTAGTGGGAGAAGAAACTGTCAGTCTCTCTCCCCAGCGACAGCCAGAGACACCTTGGGAGAGGACAGTCGGTCCCCCTCCCCAACCACATGAAAAGATACAGGGAGTATCCCAAGTCTACAACCTTTTATATACAGTAATATTTGAATAAAGGACACCAAATTTTTTAAACTTTGGTGTAAGAAACGGCCTTCGTCTTATATGCTAAATGCAGCCTATAGTTTGTGTTCATTTGTGAGTATTTCTACATATAGATGACGATCAGGCACAGTGAGGGAGATCAAAGGTATCCCTTCCCGTGCCATTTTAGGCTTTTGTTGAAGAGAGAGCCTGGCAGACCCTCTGTCTGCAATTCCGCTATTTCCCCTCTCTTGCGCAAGTACATTACCACGGCAAACGTCTACCCTGCACAATGCCGAAGTACGCAATAAGTGCTTGCATCCGGCGGAGGTGCAAGCTAGGTCCTCACAATACCACTGGACAACCAGGAATTTGTATCAGCAAATTTTAACCACAGGTGAATTCCATGACATCCGTCCTGACCAGGAGTAAAAATCAGGGAGGCGAAACGAACATATGAAATAAGATATAAAGCGTCTCTTCTGCATCCCATAAATAACCACACAGACACTGCAGCCCTTACCCATACACAATGAATTCCTTACACACATTACTACACCCACACACATACCTACGTTTACTGTAATTGTGGTACAGCTTTGTTTTATATTTTTGTTTATCCTAAATTTCTAGTCAAAATATACGTGTGTCTTCTAATCCAAAAAAAATAAAATAATATGGTACATAAACTAAATCCTCTAACAGCACTTCTAAAATCTGGGCCATATATGGTGCTTATGGATTGGTTTGAGAAATATTTCCGGCTCTCTCGAAATGGTTCACAATAAGAGGCTACATACTACATGTCCTAGAATGCTCCGAAACAAAAAAACTTTTTACTCACAGTAAATTATTTATCCTTAATATTGTGGCAGTACACAGATGGGTTGTGCTTCCATATGCTGGGACAAGTAACCTGAAAGATATTAATTTAAATTGCTCCTCCCCTTCACCCTTTATAATCCCCAACGTTACCTTTACTAACCAGTTAATACCAAGAACAACGGACTCCATTTCATGCAAAAAAATATAAGGCAGAGAAGGATATTGTACTGCCACCATATTAAGGAAAAAGTATTTGTTTTTCCTAGCATATGGTAGCAGCACACAGATGGGATAAAACAAGATCCCAAAGAAAACGAAGGGAGGCCAGCCTGGACACAACTGCTTGGAGCACCTTACGCCAGAAAGCAGCGTCTGAAGTTGAGAAGAGGTCTACCCTGTAGTGTTTTATAAATATAATTTTTATCTACCCATAACTGATTACTATCGCATGCAATATCTCTATATACCTCTAGAGTGTTTCATTAGTAACTTGTAAATTTGGATAGACTTCATAGTTGGCGTAATTTGTAACATCAGAGATAGCAATTAAGAGTATCTTGTTTTTTGCTAGTATAATAGATACAAATAGTGTTGTGGATATCCACTGAACCAGACACAATAAAGCTCAGAGTGGATATCTGATATACTCACAATATCTATATACTATTCACTTTACCCTCACCTTATAGGGATATCTTAAACTTCAGAGTTGATGTATATTTAGTTAATTATAGACTTTCATTAGACTACTATTTCCAGACAACACAGCGAGTCACAACTGTCTTTGACACTGTAATAAGCATATTGTGTTTTTTTCTGTTTTCTTCATATATAATCCCCGGGGTTAGGCCCCTTGATATCCCTGGAGTCTCCTTTTGGTACCTTGGATGGTTGGTCACAGCTGGAGCACCTACACATGTGGTTGGTGTTCGGCGGTGATTAATTATCATACATACACATTGTTTACTGCCACCATATGCTAGGAAAATGTCATTAAATATGCATTCTTTAGACATCAAAAGGATACTATCGGGCCAGCAACTCTGTCACTTCATCCTTCGTCATCACCACATGCTCAGGAACCAGCTGAAAACAATAAGATAGAGATAATAAAGCACACCACACAATATACTATAATGGAAAGAAACGAGCCCGATACATAACATAGTTGGAGGATGATTTTGTAATTTAAAGAAACACAACAGTGTTAGAAATACAAAACTGTATGCCTAACACTTGAGTGTTAATTCCACCTCCCTCCCCCACCAATGCTTTCCTATGGAGATTTTCAAGACACTTGACGTCCTCATTCAAAAAGGCCAGGATGTGCCTCTAGTGGCAGTCTGTGAGAGAGCCACTAGACTGCAATGTTTTCACTTGTAGGGTTAAAGGGACAGAGACACTGCACCCAGACTACATCAATTAGATGTCTAGTGTCCTTTTATTAAGCCAAAAAAAAAAAAAATAGACAAATTACTGTGAGGCAAAATTCAGGGTTTAGTGATTAATGGTAATAAATAATACAAGTAATAAAAAATTAAAAATAAACAAGTGAGGCACCTTGGGGGAATAAAATCAAAATTTAACAAAAAATTGTTTATGAAATGGTCAAGTAAAAAAGAATGAAAAGAACCCACCCCACCCCTAAATTATGAGTACATGTAGTATGACTTTGAAGGTGACGTGAGGGGAAATTATGCTCTCAACATATATGTGAACTAATGAATGTAAAGTAGACCTAGTCTACTTACAGGTTGCCTTGTAATGTACTATACATATGCGGTCATACGTTTTATTTAAAGGCTGTGCATGTATATATATTGGTTATAGGCAAACTTACAAAAAAAAAATAAAAAAATATATATACACACACACAGTTGGGGGCTGCAGTTGTGTCTCAAGAGTGACATACAAGTCAATTAGTAAACATGTGAAATTATTTTGGGCCTATAACTCAAGATTCTGGAAAACATCTATGTAGGAACATTGCTGTATTCATGGGCAGTAGCAGAATGCAAATCTGGGGGATTTACAGTATTGGGACAAACACTAATGAAACGGTCTAAAGAAATATTAAATATATGTGAAAAACAAGAGATTGGTGATAATTGTTTACTGAAGCATGGCAACACAAAAAATTGAACCCTTTGGAAGTGTACAGAGGAACCTCTTGAGTGACCTTTTAGTTGAAACTAGTTCAACGCAAAAAGACCAATTCTTTCTTCCTTACGTGACACCTATTTCGGTTTGGTTCGGTTCATTTTTTTTTTATTTTTTTTTTTTATATATACAGGCTATTTAAGGCACATAAGCATTCATTTAAATTTACAGACAACCAGACTGTTATTTTAATAACTTACCAAAATTCGAAAGAAAACTAAAAAGATTTTTCTAAATAGTAACCAAATGCCTTTAAATACTTTGTGGTCTCTGCCTTCTGAAACTATATAGTGTTTTGGATGCTGTAACTGCTATTAAAGTTGTTGTCTCAGCATACCAGTTTTAGCTTTAAAGCCATCATATACTCCTTTTAATATGTGTCCTATAATTTCCTAAAACAAATTGAAGGCCAGACAGGAGGTATTTAACGATCATGACTAATTAGTGTTTTATATAGTTGCATAGAAATGATAAGCAAAATAACTGGATTTTATATTTTCTAAATATTTTTTCCATACATAAGGTTGTGTGCAGGGGTGCAATTAATGAGAAAGAATTACATTATAGCAGAATAGAACCTTTGGAAAGAAAAATTATGATTCTATATTATAATTCATATATAATATTCAATTTGGCATATTTCCACATTAGATTGAGATCAATAGCAATATAAAGGAAGACTTGAAACTATAACGAGGCAAATTAGAAGTACCTGTAGCCTATGTACGCAGTGCATTCCAAGCAAAAGTGTTTTTGAATGTACAACAGCTATAGTACTAACAGACCAGATTAGAATAATATGACACAATTTTGAACAAATTTGTCCCTTTATACTACATATTAATCTTCATCTAATGTGAAAATATACTGAATATTAGAATATATATATATATATATATATACATACACACACACACACACACACACACACATACATACATACACACATACACGTTTTTTCATCTGCATAGGATTACCCTTTCTCCGTAACGCTTTTTGGTTCAATTTAGAGTTTACTTACAATATTAACTTTCCTTGTACAATATCTATTTAAGGTAGTATACTTTGTAACAATACTAAGCTCAAGCTACATAGTTACATATATCTAATGTGAGTGCCAAGAAGCTAAGGTTTTCTGTTTTCCCGTTTATTTTAAATTACACTATTTACTTTCCTCACATTTTTTCACTATTTATTTTCTTCACTTTGTGTTTGTTTTTGCTGTTTTTATATGGCGTTGTGTAATTTTAATTAAGTCAAAATAAAAACACTGTTTGTTAAACTGTCTTCTAGTACTACCATCAGGAATGAGAATATCTTTGTGGTAATTGTCTAAAATTTAATTTCTTTTTGATAGTTTATTATTCCTGTCTCGCATTCGAAGCCTTCTTTTCAACCTAGTATAGCAGAATATACACATAGTAAAAGTGTCATAAAGGTCTCTGTCATAAATGCAAACAGTCTTGGTCACAAGTGGGGCTTTGGGATAGCATACAGAGCATAAACAAACAGCTGATTAGCAAAAAAAAAAAAAAAAAAGAGAAGTCACCTCGTGTTCTGTGATATTTATCAGGAGCTCTTGCTGCAGAAATTGCTCCAGAATGTATTTGGGTGCCATGTCAACCAAAGACTACAAAGAGATGGAGAGATGTGGCAGGTTAACATATCATGGGATAATTGCAGAGGGGAAATCCACATTTAAAGTGGCTATTTAGAAAATAAATGTTTCATTAGTTTCTCTCTCATTACCTGTTTGGCCGATGGAGTCATTCCTTGTTGCACCACAATGATAGCTCTGGTGATATTTTCTTCCTGCATTCTCTGGCAGTACATCTTAATGGTTTTAATACCAACCTTGGGTTCCTCTATAAAAAAAATCACAAAATTTGTTTTTTTAACTTTGCTTTTTGTTCTGTTGATGGTCAGGATTCTTCTGACATGTGGTGACAACTTACCTGGGAAAAATACAAACATCTGGTCAGTAGGGTCATCATTATGAGCTACCAGCACTGTAAGGTCTGTACGGCGGGGACGTCCCTCACTTGGTTTGTCACCAAACTGTCCTTTGAACTCTTCCAAAGTCTGATCCAACTCATCTTGGGTCACCAAGTAACCTCGGTCATGACAGAGCTACGGAAAAAAAAAGGCATTAACAGGTTAGTTTTAAAAGAGAACTGTTTAGCTTCAGGAGTTGCTGCACATGCTACATTTTTATTTTCCCACATACATTTACTAATTCTCCTGTTTGCTAATCAAGACCTGATCTTGCTAAAAATTCACCAGCTTTGAGTTTTCTCCTAAGGTCTTTCATTGTGGGACACCTAAAACAAGGACAGCCAAAGAAACATCACTGTGATTTGCCCTCACAGAGACCAGTCTTTCTTAAAGGGACACTCCAGGCACCCAGACCACTTCTGCCCATTGGAGTGGTCTGGATTCCAACTCCCACTACCCTTAACCCTGCAACTGTAATTATTGCAGTTTACATAAACTCCAATAATTACTTTGCAGGGTTAAGTCCTCCCCTAGTGGCTGTCTACTAGACAGCCACTAGAGGGCACTTCCTGGTCCATAGCACAGGTTTTGAGGACCTCCAGCATCACTAAAATCCCCATAGGAAAGCATTGAAAAGCATTTTCAATGCTTTCCTATGGAGAGGTCTAATGCGTGTGAGCAGCATTGCCGCGCATGTGCATTAGGTCTCCCCAGCCGGCGGGCGTGATGAAGGGGAGGAACGGCAGCGGAGGAAGAAGCAGCAACGAGGGACATCGTTGCTGCCTTTGGTAAGTGACTGAAAGGGTTTTCACCCCTTCAGAAACCGGGGATGGGAGGTAGAGGGGACCTGCAGTGCCAGGAAAACGGATTGTTTTCCTGGCACTGGAGAGTCCCTTTAACCCCTTAAGGACTGAGCCAAATGTACACGTTGTGATCAAAACAAAACAAAAACTTGAATTTGCGCTCTCTGTTCAGGCGTAATCCGCCTCTTTCATATTATTTGCACCCACACTTATTATATATCATTTTATTCAAGGGAAACAGGGCTTTCATTTAACATCAAATATTTAGGTATAAAACCATTTAATATGAATATATAAAAAAAAAAAAGGGGAGAAAAGAATTGTAAAAAGATTTTTAGTTCTACATGACATTCTAATTGTGAATGTCAATACTGTTTGCTTCTTCTGCAATAAAATACACATATTTGTATTCACTGATGTCTCACGTGTAAAACAGTACCTGTGTACAGGTTTTATGGTGTTGTGGGAAGATACAGGGTCAAATATAGCATGTTCCATTTTTCAGTTTTTTCACATTGAAATTAACCAGATAGAGATAATATAAATATATATATATATATATATATATATATATATACATACATACATACACACACACATATATATAATTTTTTTATCAATATCATTGTACATGTACTTTGAGAGAGATATATATATATATTCTAAGTATATATTATTTAATTTTACAGTTTTTTTTGTTTTTTCAGGCACTCCCCCAGCTGGCATTGCTATGGACAGCTATGTCGTCCATGTGATCGTGAGGTCCTCGCAAGGACTTCGCGATCACATGGTCCAGGGGGGCCAAAGAGGAAGGAGGAGGACTCCCTGGTAAGTCCCCATACCGCGATCTCCAGGTAAGTACATAGGACGGCGGGGACGTGTTATGCCGCCAGCCAGCGTTTAGAGCCAGGTGGTAGTGATTACAAAGAATTAACTGCTCCTCTTTTATATTTTCTCCCCGTGGTCGCTTAGTAACAACACATGGCTCCACAAATTCCAGGTGCCAGGTCGCCATGGCTACTAGGAATTTTGTCCTGGCATCTTGGATTTCTTAGCCATTTCAGTGGAGGCCGGCAAGCTAATGTGATGTGGAGGCAGCCGTATGGAACAGAGGCACGAGGGAACTGTGATCTTCCTGCAGTGATGCCGGAAAATGACGTCACTCCAGCCCCGACATCAGTAATCAGGACCACTGAACCCCGGGGAAAAGATCCACTCCAGCACTCCCAAAAGTAGAGTGTGCATGTCTGTAAATAAGGTGACCGTCCCCCCTCTGATCCAAGAGAAAGGGGATTTTATTTACCTTTTTCACACGCCATGCCGGTCTTGCTGTGGCTAGCCCCGCCACCATGGCTGAGAATGAATTAATCTTGATGATCTCAGCTAAGCCTCTGGTGACAGCGACTGAGAGAGGGTGTGACCAGAACCACTAATACATTAAGCTGTAGTGGTTCTGGTGACTATAGTGTCCCTCTAAGAATTGCATATTTGTTGTTGAAAGTGAAGCTTTAAGGATCACTATAGTGTCTGGAAAACAAACCCATTTTACTGACACTATAGTGCCCTAAGGTGCCCCCACCTCCAGGGTCCCCCTCCCTTGGCGCTGAAAGGGTTAAAACCCCTCAGCAGCTTACCTTAATCCAGCGCCGGACTCCCTCTGCGCTTGTGACCTCTCCTCCCCCGCCGACGTCAGTGCTGGTGACCTCTCCTTCGCATCCAGCATTGCAGATGTGCCTCTAGCGGTTGTCAGGAAGCCAGCCACTAGAGGTTGGATTAACCCTATGTAAACATAGCAGTTTCTCTGAAACTATGTTTACATTTGAAGGGTTAAAACCTGAGGAACCTGGCACCCAGACCACTTCATTAAGCTGAAGTGGTCTGGGTGACTATAGTGTCCCTTTAGTAGATATAAGTATCTAAAACCTGGCTCCTAACGTTTTGAACCGACTCCTAGATTCCAAGCAAATTTGTCAAGTCCCTAACTAACAGCAGAAGAAAGGGTTAAAAATTTGGAATTGTCGGTCTTAAAAGATTCTATTTAGATTTGTAGACTTCTTTATGTTTTTGCCTTTACAAAAGAGAATATTCAAGGATCTATTAGTCAATGTGAGGTATCAGATTGCTGATTTAAGCAAAACTTGATTCAGGAATGAACTTTCCCACCCCTTTCTGATAATTAAAACGCTTTCAATTTGTTTTTCCCACCTTCGTTTGGATCAACAGCAGAAAGTGAGGTGAGTGAAAGCCCACACTTCGGCTTGTCCAAACGATATTACTATACAGTGATATCCCTCGATCCCTTCCAGCAAGATCCCTAGCACACCTTACACCCCATTCCTCTCCTTTCAAACATCACCTGCATAATGGTCTTTCGGATCTTCCATAATCGGTAAGTCTCTTCCTCGTCATCCATGTTAACAGCACGACCCTAGCACGCCGTTCTCCCGCGAGCTTGCCTCACCACTGCCTGACTGCCGCGAGGACCCCAAACACAGGCTGCCCGTTGCATTGCCTAATCACAGCGAAGGACCTCTGGATGGCATGTTGGTTGTGCGCATGCGCTCTAAGCTGATACGGCGATCTTGGTGGAGGGTGCAATTCAGTACACTGTGTGTGTGTGCGCGCTGACGTAAACCACGAGGACCTGAATCACAGAGGCTGCCCTCAGCATTGCCTGATCACACTGACTGTAGTGGAGACGGGCTGCCCGGAGAGTGCCTGATTAAACAGACTGGCAGCCCCAGGACTGTCTAAGAGTGCGAAGACCCTGAGTTTGGTGTGAGTTATAGTGCCTAACGTGCGTCTCCCTCAGCCCGCCGCCAGGGTGAGTACCTCCCCCATGGTGACCCTAGTAAGAAGTGTTGTCGGCAGTGGTGTGCTTCTGCCATTTTGCTGGTGGCAGGAGACAGACACTCCTATCTAGAGCAGAGGGTTTCATCCAGTGTGCTATGGCAATGTTGCTGTGCCATGAGCACACTGTGGGCTGTTTATCACAGTATTGCCCAATAATCTGCACCTTTTATGGATTCATTTATTTCTGTACAGTGAGTTATCTAACCATACTGTCTGAACCACTATTATTTACTCATGCATCTACAGTTTTAGATTATTATTTATTATTATTATTATTTTGCAGTAGTTTCTGTGAATATTGCATTTCATTTAATTTTTATACCTTTTTTTTATTTTGCTCCTCATCAATTTGTGTTCCAAAATATATTGATTTTTTTTTTTTTTCTATTACCAGATGTTGGGCATCTAAAACACAAGTATCGTATATTTTGAAATAACAGTAAATGATAACAAGTGTTATTGGTTATGTTATTAAACGCAATACCCCCGAACATTTAGCCCTAAGTTTCAAAGTGGATCTGTCACAAGGTGACCTCTTCGGTTATAATCTGGTGGCCATTGGGCACAGGGAGAAGTAGGTTTAGATTGTAAACTCACAGGCTATTTAGCTAAGCATTGTGTATAAAAGAGTTTCAATGGCTAGATCTCAGCTTACGAGCTGGGCCCTCTCTGCCTTTTGTATTTGTTTATGTATATTGTACGTTCTCCACTAATTGTACAGCCGCAGAATTTGTTGGCACTTTATAAATACCAGTAATAAATAAATTTTAAAAATAGGTTTACTTACCTGAAGCTGTGTTTCTTGGCTACTGAAATAACAGAGAACAATGTCTGGCATGCTAATAGTTGTAAAACTATTTTTTGAAACTGGGATCAGAATTTCCACTCACCAAGGATTTTTCATCAAGAAGGAAGTCTAGATTACCTGTTGCCCTTAGGTAAGAAGGCAGGTGCATACTTGCCACAAGAAAAAAAGCCCCTGTGTCAGTACGAAGTGCTATTACATGTCACTGGACTTCTCCTACACAGCAGTGACTACTACAAAAGTTGTGCAGTGATCAATAGGGAAAAAAGCAAATCTCTTGGCAGCAGAGATATTAAACACCAGGAAAGTCTGCCCCACACACAAAGGTAACAGGGAGAAAAAAGGAGATGGTCATGAAACTGTCACCAGCTGTCCACATTCAGTAGATGTGCAGAGAGGTTCCACCAGCAGGTGCTGCAAAGGAGTTGCCACCACTGAGCCAACAATGAAAAATTACACTCCACGGTTCTATAAATTTTAGTTTGTCTTTATTGCAGCCGCCACAAATCACCTGGCAATATTTTATTTCTAACAAATCTCAGAGGGGTTTGAAGTATTACCAGGTTCTTTTACTACCTCTTCACGTGTCACAATCTCTTTCATTGTCATTTGTCAGGTGCAGGAAAATTGCATGTATTATTGAGAATAAGGAATCGACTGATCTGAGTTGGGGGTTCAAATACACAGCTGCATTCACACACACATGCATTCCTCATTTCCAACACACACATCACTTATCATACACCAACCCGCTATATATAAACTAGCCTACATAAACACACTCACTGATATTGCACATAAATACTCCCTTGAATTTGCATACCTACTGAAGTTCCATGCTACAGACAAGATATAAATTTAAAACAAAACAATTGCTTTTATTGTGGGAAGCTACTTTTAGGCCTAGGTCAGAAATTTTCAGCCCTGTTAAATCATACTATATAAAAAGCCTATAATGCTGAACTTAATAATGCAATAATGCCATGTGGGGTTCCTGGAGACATAGAAGATAGCATTTTTAAGACAGAACACCTATAGATTGACAGTATATACAAAGAAAAAAGGTAGGGACTATGTTATCTTTTTTTTTTTTTTTTTTTTAAATTCTTTATTTTTGCTGTGCAGGTAGGTACAAGGAATCAATAGACGCCACAACAGCATATTGGAAAATATACATTGGTATAACAGTGGCATGAGAGTCTGCACATTTAAAAATTTTTTTTTTTTTAACAAGTTTGGTTAAACAGTTGCGTCGTCTTTTGTAATGAGAAAAATAACAGACTGGGGACACTTTAAAGATTTTAAACATGCTATATACAGGCTAGCTTTGTATGACTGTTGCGGTGGGTCACGATGGGGTTTCAAGCTTGAGACAGTAAACATACAGTGGTTCTAGAGATTGGAGTAGTCAAGTGCTTAGAGAGTGGATTCAGGTTAAATTCGTAGTCATATTGTATAAGCACGGTTGCAGTTAGCAGTAACTTGATGTAAAACTACATTAAAAAGTTAAACTGTGTGTATTTAAGCTTAGACACAACATGCAGCAGTTAACATTGCTAGAGTTAGCCTTCATTGTGTAGCCCTGTTTCTATTCACTCTGAGCATAAAGGTGCCCTGCATAAAAACAATGGTAACATTCAAAAGCAGTTAGTGGAATCTGCACATTTTTAAAGGTAGATACTGACATGCATTAGAACACAGATGCAAAGGATAAACAGCGGCTAAATGAGCTATGGTTAACAAGCTAATTGCCTGTGGTTATTATATTGTGTTGCTTGCTCCACTGCTGCTATATGTATCTTACAGTCTCTGCTGTGAGATGTTAGGGCCAGTTCTGAGCTCAGTGCGAGACATACTGTGCGGTGGGATCGTGCAGAGTCTCTGCTGCAGGGGCACAGACTGTCTCTAGGTCATGCCGTCTTGGTCAGCCGACGCCGGCTCTGAGGGATTGGCATGTGGGTCCAGGGCGCTGCGAGGTCCCTTCCCCCGTTGGTTGTTGCCGCTGTGTGTGGATATCCCAGAAGTGGGTCAGTATCACCTCTAAGCTTTGCAGTGGGTCTCTCCAGCGCGGTTGTGTCGGTCGCATGGTCATCCTGCATATCCCGCTGCCGGCCGCCATTTTAGGTGCGCCTTGTAGGAGGTTGTAGCCTTGCTTGTCAGGGTCAGGCTTGTACTGCTGTCTCTGCTGGTGATTGTGGATGTCGAGTGCGGGCCGGGATGACCCCCGCCGGCCCAGGGGGGGGGGGAGGAAGGCTGGTGCACTGAGGGGTGTGTGTGCGGTTTTACCATCCAGAAGAGCGGCCGTCTCTCCCTGGCTCGGCCGCATGTAGGCCCCATGTGCTTTGCGTGGGATCCCGGGCAGTGTGAGTCTCGTTTGTGGGTTCCTTCGATGCCCCCGGGTTTCCCCAGCTCGTCCCATGCCCTCTGACTTGTGGGTGATTTTGTGTTTGGGGTATTTTTCCCCATTGTTGTCGTTTTTTGCAGGAGCTGGTTTGCAGCACGTCTGTCCTGCTCAGCAGTCAGGCTCCGCCCCCCCGACTATGTTATCTTATGTATATGTTGAAAAGGGAAGAACGGTGCAAAAGATGTAGTTTTAAAGAACTTATCCTGCCTTGTATTCTGCACAATAAAGGATTATGGAAGCTTATTGTCGTTGTGCAAGAAAATATGTGGAGGGTCTAATCTGATCTTCCATAAAAAAAAGTCTTGAAAAAAATTATTTTTGTACTTTTGAGACAAATGCATCTCAGAGAGGATATGATAGTCCCATATAAATACACACAGTACAAGTGGTACTCTGCTAACCGAATATTAAGTTTATAGAAAATGTTGTCACCCATTTACAATTAAAATATGTTACGTATAACAGGTGAAATTGTTCTTCACAGTAAAACAATAACGATGGGGAATATTCTCTAACTGCATAATCATTAATCATATTCTGTATACAGGGAGTGCAGAATTATTAGGCAAATGAGTATTTTAACCACATCATCCTCTTTATGCATGTTGTCTTACTCCAAGCTGTATAGGCTCGAAAGCCTACTACTAATTAAGCATATTAGGTGATGTGCATCTCTGTAATGAGAAGGGGTGTGGTCTAATGACATCAACACCCTATATCAGGTGTGCATAATTATTAGGCAACTTCCTTTCCTTTGGCAAAATGGGTCAAAAGAAGGACTTGACAGGCTCAGAAAAGTCAAAAATAGTGAGATATCTTGCAGAGGGATGCAGCACTCTTAAAATTGCAAAGCTTCTGAAGCGTGATCATCGAACAATCAAGCGTTTCATTCAAAATAGTCAACAGGGTCACAAGAAGCGTGTGGAAAAACCAAGGCGCAAAATAACTGCCCATGAACTGAGAAAAGTCAAGCGTGCAGCTGCCACGATGCCACTTGCCACCAGTTTGGCCATATTTCAGAGCTGCAACATCACTGGAGTGCCCAAAAGCACAAGGTGTGCAATACTCAGAGACATGGCCAAGGTAAGAAAGGCTGAAAGACGACCACCACTGAACAAGACACACAAGCTGAAACGTCAAGACTGGGCCAAGAAATATCTCAAGACTGATTTTTCTAAGGTTTTATGGACTGATGAAATGAGAGTGAGTCTTGATGGGCCAGATGGATGGGCCCGTGGCTGGATTGGTAAAGGGCAGAGAGCTCCAGTCCGACTCAGACGCCAGCAAGGTGGAGGTGGAGTACTGGTTTGGGCTGGTATCATCAAAGATGAGCTTGTGGGGCCTTTTCGGGTTGAGGATGGAGTCAAGCTCAACTCCCAGTCCTACTGCCAGTTCCTGGAAGACACCTTCTTCAAGCAGTGGTACAGGAAGAAGTCTGCATCCTTCAAGAAAAACATGATTTTCATGCAGGACA